GGTCCTGCTGATGGGTTGTAGACCTTCTACGGCCCTGTCCAGCTCTCCTGGAGTAACTGCCTGTCTCCTGGCATCTTATTTTTATTAACACCAAAGCAGCTGAAACTGATTAACAACCCCCTCTGCTACTTACCTGGCCAAATCAATATCCCAGAAGTTTAATTAACTTGATGCTATACTCTGATTACAAAGTGTTCCTTTCATATTTTTAATAGTGTATTTCCAAGTCTAAATTTCCTTTCTTTCTCTGATCAATCATTTGATGCTTTTAACCCGAATTCCTTGTTGAAAAAGTAAATTCTGATTCTACACTTTGAAGGACAGTAAAGCCAGAAACGATTTTTACTATTTATTGTTATGGAGTGAATTTTGTTCCATTATTTTTGCAAATGACATTTTTGGTGAATCAAAAGAGTAATTTTACAAAACTGAAAAACTTCTTAATTAAAAAGAATAACTTTTCTTTTCTCAGGTTTGGTTATTTAAATTGTTTGTATAAATGTTAGCAACAACATTTTTATGGCTCATGAGCGAGGTTGGATTTTGCTGGAAGGGGAAGTTTAAAGTATGTAACTAGTTGCACTTTTTTTCCCTAAACTTTTGTTTTTCAAAATAAGACTTTCACATGACCCATGTATGGAAGCTTTAGTTTTCTACGTGGTCGACCCGGGTACGAATCCAACCGGTGGTACTTTGCTGCATGTCTCGCCCCCTCTCTTGTACCCCATTTCCTGTCAGCCTTCTGTACAGAAAACCAGCCACTAGTGCAGTAAAAACCTCAAAAAAAAAAAAAAATAAAAATTTGATTTTGTTTCAAATTTTTCGAATTTCCATTTACTAATCATATTCTTTGCCTGGAACAATAATGGAACAAAATTCACTCCATACTTTAACCAAATCTTAATGGGGAGGGGGTATGAATACTTTTAACCATTAATGGATTCAAGGAGCTTCAAACCAAACGTGCTTCGTCATTTCAGCCCATTCCTCACACTTCTGACTGCCGGTTATTAACTTACTATTCTCATGGCACTGGAGAAGAAGAAAACTGTGGGGAGAAGAGAAGAAGAAAAGCAGAGGTTAGAAAAGCACTACGCCTGATGTGTGACATCACTTCCTGTGTGACTCACCATCATCGGGGTCCTGGCAGGTGAAGCGGGTTCCTTCCAGCTCTGTCAGGATGTCCTGCAGGATGTCCGTGTTGTTCGGCCCAGAGGAGGCTGTGGAAAGGGACGCCATCGTTCAGTGAGTCCCCGGCTCCCAGAAGGCCCCGCCCCAGTGGCGTCCCCACCTACCTGACTTGTAGAAAACGGCCAGGACATGGTCGTAGGTGGCCAGGCTCGGAGCTGTAGGCGCAGAAGGTGGTCAGGAAACAGAAGGAGACGTGGATGGAAACAGAGGAGCAGAGCTTACCGATCCCCAGGGCCTTCATCTCATTCAGCGTCTGAGGAGCCAAGCTTTTGGCCAGAAAGCCGCAGCGCCTCAGAGCTTTCAGAACGCTATTGAAGGTCAGCAGGTTGGGGCGAACTTTCTGTTGGCTCATCTGGTTCAGCAGCTCCTACAATCACCCAGAGGAAGGAGTTTAACGGCTCTGAGGGATGCTGGAGCAGAGGGCGGGCTACCAGAGCTCTGACTTACAGTGATCAGGTCCCACCGCTCGCTAAATTTCTCTCTGACATCTGGAGCTGCTGAGATCAGCGCGTTGAAGACGTGGACATCAGCTGTGAACACAAGGCGAGGTTACGCACCAACAGCACAGCGAGTCATGGCCGGCCGCCGTCATTTCAACATAAAACCAGGATTATTAGCCTGATGCTATCACGGAGTATTAGGTCCAGGCTAGAGATTATTTTTTTTCAATTTGAGAATAAAGTTGTAACATTACGAGAATAAAGTTGCAACATTAAAAGAATAAAGTAATAAGATTATGAGAATAGAAACATAACATTATGAGAATAAACTCCTGAGATTACAAGAATAAAGTCGTAGCATAGCAAGAATTAATTTGTAACATTACAAGAATAAAGTTGTAATATTACAAGAATAAAGTAATAAGATTACGAGTATAGAGTCGTAACATTACGAGAATAAATTCGTAACATTACAAGAATAAAGTAATAAGATTACGAGAATAGAAACATAACATTACGAGAATAAACCCCTGACATTACAAGAATAAAGTCATAGCATAACGAGAAGAAAGTCCTAACATTACGAGAATAAAGGCGTAGCATAACAAGAATAAATTCGTAACATTACGAGAATAAAGTCGTAATATTACAAGAATAAGTTCGTAACATTACAAGAATAAAGTAATAAGATTACGAGAATAAAGTCGTAACATTACGAGAACAAATTTGTAACATTACAAGAATAATGTAATAAGATTACGAGAATAGAGTTGTAACATCACAAGAATAAAGTCGTAACATTACGAGAATAAAGTCGTAATATTACAAGAATAAGTTCGTAACATTACAAGAATAAAGTAATAAGATTACGAGAATAAAGTCGTAACATTACGAGAATAAAGTCGTAATATTACAAGAATAAGTTCGTAACATTACAAGAATAAAGTAATAAGATTACGAGAATAAAGTCGTAAGATTACGAGAATAAAGTCGTAACATTACGAGAATAAAGTCGTAATATTACA